AAGAAGAAGAAGAAGAAGAAGAAGAAGAAGAAGAAGAAGAAGAAGAAGGAGGAGGAGGGGGAGGAGGAGGAGGAGGAGGAGACAGTTATGAGCACAAGACCGCCGAAGGGAGGCGTGTGCTGATGACAATAATCACTAACGTCCTGGTCTCAACTCCGCAAGCCAACAGGGACACCGCCCGCAAGTCTGTCTGGGATTCCCTCCCAAACGCAACGCAAAACGCGACGATGACGACGATAATGAGCATAATAATTTTTCCGCATGCAGAGAGGGAGGGAGAAGCGGGCCATCAATAACCTGGCATTAGGTTATTGCGCGAAGATGAAAACCTTGATTTAAATTATTGACACCAGTGTCCTATTTCCGCCAGGTTCAGAAGGGGTCTGACAGCTTTCTAATTACATCTTGGGGAGAAAATAGGGTGAGCAATGCGGGTGCAGTGATGCGAGGGGCTGCGTACTGGCAAGCGGTCTTGTGTGTGTGTGTTTGTGTGTGTGTGTGTGTGTGTGTGTGTGTGTGTGTGTGTGTGTGTGTGTGTGCTTTGCCATGGGAACGTAACTGTTCTGAAGCATTGAGTTCAAGAATTGTGAACCTCTGTCGCTACCCATGTCTTCAATACTATCGTACCATTACACTTATAGATCTATACCACATTACCATCAACAATATAACCACCACTGCAACTGCCACCTCAACCAACAACTAAAACGACACCCATCGCAACAAACACTACGACAACCTACACAACAACCGCCACTGGAATCACAACCACAATTACCACAAGCAGCGCCACCATCACCACAATAACAGCCGTTACAACAAACGCCAACACAACAAACACTACTTCTACCGCAAAAACCACAACAACCACCACCACCACCACCACAACCAACAACTAAAAAAAACAACCATTCCAACAAACACCACCACAACAACCACTACCTCTACCACAACCTCCACCACAAAAACCACAACAACAGCCTTCTAAAAAACTGTCGTATCCACCACCACCTCAACAACTACCACAACCACCAACACAACAATCACAGACAGACAGACAGACAGACAGACAGACAGACAGACAGACAGACAGACAGACAGACAGACAGACAGACAGACTGACGGACGGGCGGGCGGCCTTTTGGACTGACAGGCATACAGACAGACAAACAGGCTGACAGACAGACAGACAGACAGACAGACAGAAAAACAGACGGACAGACAGACAGACAGACAGACAGACAGACAGACAGACGGACAGACAGAAAAACAGACGGACAGACAGACAGAAAAGGGACAGACAAATGAGACAGACAGACAAACAGGCAGAAAAATGAAGCCCCCCAAAAACCCTCATTTTGTGCGTGGACTTTTTCCTCAGGAGGTCTGGAGATGTTTAACCCTAAAGATGCCAGGGGTGTGGACAAGAGCACAGGTGAGTTCATGGACATAATGGGGGCTGGGGGGGTGGGTGGTAGGTAGGGGACAAGGAGGATGGGGGAGGGAGGGCATGAAGGGTGTAGAGAGGGGGCAGGGAGGAGGAGAAGGAGGAAGAAGGTAGGGAGGAATGCATTCATTTGGGATAGGGGTGAGTTGTGTGAGGTCATGAACGCAGGTGAGATGAACATTGTGGAAAATAAAGAAGGGAAAGGGGAAGGGAGGTCATAGGAACACGGATAAGATGAA